GCCTTGGGATGAGAGGGCTGTGTGCTCAGGCATTGCAGCTTTTCAGAAGTGGGGACTTGTTGGGGGTCTCTAGCTGGTCACAGTGACCCTGAGAAAACTTATAAAGTCTTTTTTCCCAGCCTGGCACTTGAAGAAGGAGTCAGGGCTCTTCATTTCTCAATCTCAAGGTTATTCTTTGTATCTTATCTATAAAAAGTTTTCTCCTGCCCTGCCAAGGTCTGTCCAGCAGGACAATTCCAGGCACTCTGCCTGCCCCCAGGGCGGTGTTATGTCTTTATACTAAAAACTACAATATTTACAATTACTTTCCAATTCCCATCACCTATGTTAGACAGTGAGCTTCTACTCTAAACCAATCTGTGAGTGCCACCATCACAGCACAAGATGGAGGCCAAGAAGAAGAAGAAGGAGAAAGGCTGGACACACCCAGTTCCCTCCATCTTGCCCCCTGAACCCCCATTCTAAAAACCCCAAAATCTACTTTTCCCCCGTGATAACTTCACTGTCATTCTACTTAATTTGTCATGGCTTGTTGATCTTCATACAAGGTTGGTAATTTGCTTCACAGGCCATAATCAAACCCACAGGGGCATTTTGGGCTCCATGCCAGGGTCTCTGAGCTCCCTGGCAGGGTCTTGGCCATCCTGGACAGGCAGAGGGATGTTCTGGGTCCTGACAGGGAGTTTGTGCAGAGCACTGAAAATAATGCAAAAATGTGTAGCTTGGCTCTTACTGGATGTGCTGTTCCTCTGCCCTCACTTAAGAAAATATTGCCCTCCAAATTCAATCCTGTAGCCCATTATTCATGAGGTCATTACTCTTTAATTTAATCACCAAATGTCAGCTGAATCCCATTTATTCTGCCAGCCCGCTAGAGATTTACCTATTTATTTTACATTTCAAATGAATTGCTCGTTATTTTGTCATTCTGGGATTTTATTCTGTAATTTATTTCGTGAGCCCTGACAAGTTGAAAATGAACCCTGGTTCTCCCTTGTCTTGCATATTAATCGTCAGGTCCACGGCTCAAATGTTTGGTTACAGGACCAAGGGACCTGACCCTATATCCAGGGAGGGAGGGGAGCCAGGCTTTGTAACCCCATAGATGCTGCTGGTGATTTAGCTGTGACAAGAAGGAAATGCTTTTTCTCTTTCCTCCTTACCACACTTCTTGGGTTAATGTCAAAGGGCAAGTTATCCTGTGCAGCTTGCCCCTGAAATACATCACAGCAAATAAGAGATGTGTGCTGCTCCTTATGGTGTGTGGTTGAAGTCCTTACAGAAAGCTGTAAAAATAAATGTTGGAGAGAAAACAAAATTTGGGGTTATTAAAAATACCAATCCTCTTTTAATGAGGTCAGGGTGAAATGGTCCTCAGTGAGGGATAGTCCTTACAGCAGCTACTTCTAGCTGCAGATTTTGTTCTTTGCTCTTGTTTTTGGCTGTTGTAGGTGCTGGAGAAGACAGAGCAGTGCTCTGCTCCAGCCTGGCCCTGTGGTGTCCCTTCTGGTCTGGTTTTCTCTAATAGATCCAGGGATCCTGTCCAGAATTGAGCTCAGAAATCAGCTCCTTGCAGACACGTTGTGCTTGTGTGTTTGACATATATATACCAGGATTGCTGTGTGCAATCTGAGCCCCATCCAGCCTTTTCACTTTCCTTTTGCAGAATGGACAATATCATAGAAAACTGATTTTCTGTCAGGGTTAGTTCTTTATCTGCCAATGGAGTATCTGTGCTTTTTTCCAGTTGCCCTCTAAGCTGCTGGGACCTATGTGCCCTGCGTTTCACCCTTGTTATTATCCAGCTCTTCTGTGCTGGAGAGGAGACTTTTTAAGGAAATTCACACAAGGCCAGACACTGGCAAGCGCCAGAAAGAGCAGGAGGAGGAATTTGGAGGGTATGAAGGGACACTTCAATCTTCAGGCTCGTTTCTTGGTGGGATATAAACTGAGCACCATTTCAGCTCGATTTGAGCAAATAGCTGAAAAAAAAGGGAATATCCTTATTTTATGCTTTTCCTGTCGCTGACACAAATCCCAAGCACCTCATTGATTTTCTGCTTTGGCCAGCCTGAGATCAGCAGTGTGACATTGCTCCTGTTTGCTGGGCTGAGTTTGTTGTGAGAGCTGTATGATGCAAAAACCTATTTGATTCTTCTTCTGAAATCTTCTTGGACACAGCATTTTCCCACCCTATCAGCCTGGGCAATCAAGGGCATGTTTTGGAAGTCAGAATTTACAGGACTGGAAGAAGATTTCTTGCATCTGCCTCACTGTCTGGGTGAAGTAAGTCAGTAATTCTGTATTGTATCTGCTGAGAAATGTCTCAAAGAAGGAAGGAATGATGAACCTGACTCCATGTTCTCAGAAGGCTAAAATATTCTATTCTATTCTATTCTATTCTATTCTATTCTATTCTATTCTATTCTATTCTATTCTATTCTATTCTATTACAGAATACAGAAAGGATACTTACAGAATGCTAAAAATATAATAATGAAAAACTTGTGACTCTTTCCAGAGCCCTGACACAGCTTGGCCCCAATTGGCCAAAGAGTGAAAACAACTCCCAGCAGAATCCAATGAAACAATCACCTGTGGGTAAACAATCTCCAAACACATTCCACATGTGAGCACAACACAGGAAAAGCAAATAAGATAAGAATTGTTTTCCCTTTTCTCTGAGGCTTCTCAGCTTCCCAGGAGAAAATCCTGGGTGAAGGGATTTTTCAGAAAATGTGAGTGTGGCAGTTGCTGACAGTGCATTGTTGCCAGCTCTGTCTTTCACAAAATCCTTTTTTCCCAGCAAGCAGATGGAAAACCCATGACCCCCTCTGCTGGCAGTCATCTCCCACTGAAATGTCATTTCAAGCAAATACAAAATTCATCCACATCATCAGTGTGAAATGAAGAGGTGAGGGGTTTCCTTGTTTTTCCCATTAATAATAAACCTGCCCTCTGAGACAACCTTAAATGAACCTCCCTGTCTGAAGGGGGATCATTGTCTGCTCTGCATGATGAGCCGTGCTGGCTGAGCACCATCCTGTCCTGCTGTTCCTGCTGCTCTAGGCCTGCTGCTACTCCCTCCTGTCACATTTGTATTTTCTGGAAAAATCCCTTCACCCAGGATTTTCCCCTGGGAAGCTGAGAAGCCTCAGAGAAAAATGAAAACAATAATTATCTGATTTGCTTCTCCTGCGTTGTGCTCACATGTGGAATGTGGTTGGAGATTGTTTACCCACAGGTGATTGTTTCATTGGATTCTGCTGTGAGTTGTTTTCACTCTTTGGCCAATCAGGGCCAAGCTGTGTCAGGACTCTGGAGAGAATTACAAGTTTTCATTATTATCTTTTTAGCATTCTGTAAATATCTTTTCTGTATTCTTTAGTATAGTTTACTATACTATTCTTAATTATAATATAGTATCATAAAGTAATAAATCAGCCTTCTGAGAACATGGGGTCAGATCCATCATTCCTTCCTTCATTGGGGCACCCCACAAGTACAATTCCCTCCCTGGTGCTGGCTCTATTTCAGCCCTGCTGCTGACACTGGGAGTTTTGTGTGGCTGGGGCAGGCAGATGGTGCCAGGACATAATGCTGAGACTAGTTGAGATTTCAGAAAGAATTTTTATTGTTGTTGTTTTAGTGAATAAAGTTATTCTGCTGATTTAACTCATGGGTCTGAGGGCTGTGGGTCAGATTAATTTGTGCATTAGCTGAGGGATCTGACAGAGGAGCACCAGCATGGGACAAGCTGCAGGACAGTAAAACATTTCTCATCCATCTCCTCTGCACTGGGAAGAGTTTGGGATTGCAATGTAGGGTTCTTTTGAGACAAACTTCTGCATCTTTGAGTTTATTTAAAATATTATTATTCCTGAGTATTATTTTTAGTATGCTGTGGCAGTGAGAAGAAAGCATCTTCCAAGTCTGTAAACAAGACACTGTGGAAACTGGATAATATCCTTAGCTGGCACTGCTTGGCTATAAAACACTCTTCTCTGACACGGCCAGGATTGTGAAGGAGGATGATGCATGTTTATACACCAGTTGTGCTGCTGTAACTAGGAATTAGGGGGTTTGTTTAGTGAGGGATATTTTTTGTTGTTAAAGGATGGAATTGGTCCATTTTGGGCTGTACAAAGCAGCTTTTTAAAGCTGGTCCTTCTGTGTGAGTTGAAAAAGTGTTGAAATTAAAAGAAGCCTTAATAAGGAGGAGATCTTGGAGACTTTATCCTAATTGTATGGATGCTTTCTGCATTAAAGCATTACCATAATGAAAATGTGTGTCAAGGGCTTTGCTGGAAAGGCCATTAAAACAGATTAGTGCATCTATCTGCACTATAAAAAGGTCTTTTTAGCAGGTCTGCTCATAATTCCAGCTGTCACCAAATGAGACACCCCTGAAATGCCCCGTGAGCAGCTATTAAAACTGGGCAAGACTCAGCCACACGATCTTGCTTTGATTTCAGTGCAAAAAGCGCTTTGACCTTTGGGCTGTCATTGCTGGGGAACATCTGCCTGGAGGAATTAATGAACCCCCATTAGATGGGGATAATTGTCACCTCCTGGAGCCAGCTGGGGAGGAGGGTGAGGGCAGCACGGTGGGGTTGCTGTCACAAGGGGCTGGCCCTGGTCCCCTGACCTGTCCCCACCTCCCTGAATGCAAATTCAAGCTGGTCAGACAAAGGATGGTGTGACCCAGAGCCTGAGGAGGGAAAGCTCCAGGAAAGCTGGGGAGAAGGAACTTGCAGAGATCCACATTTAGTCAGGGACACTGGTAAAGGTGGGATGAGGAACTTTGGAGTGATAACAATAAGACCACAAGATTTTCACTGGAACAACTTTGATGTCNTATATTTTTAAATATTTGTAATATTTTTAATCTCTTTTTTATATTTTTTATTTATAGATTTAGATGGATAGATAGTCTATGCCCTCTCTCTCTTCCTTATCTTTCTTAACCCTCTGCCTGTCCCCAGAGCCTTCCTCAATACTTACCAGTCTCTTACCATGATTTTAGGCTGGCTTGTATCCATCAGCTCTTCCCAGTAACCCTCAGCCCTCAGGTCAATGACCTGAGCCTTTCGACACCACCTGAAACATCAAATGTTCATTGGGATCATATTCCCTCCTGGGAGAACCAAAAATGCCCCCTTTCCTGAGGGAGAGAAGAAAGCAGCCTTACTCATAAGATGTGACAAAGTATTTATGGACTTCTTCACTAGGAAATTCTTTTCCAAAGTCCCCTGGGAGCTCTTCAATTTTCCAGCCATCACCTCCATTCTCTACCTCTCCCCAGTGCTCCAAGCCTTCTGCAAGTGGCAGAAAAGAGACTTGGATGAGTCCTGTGGATGTGGGGAACTTGACCATCTCCCACTGGAACCTTCCTCTGGCTTGTGAAGGTTTGATATTAGACACAGCACTGATTTTATATGTGCTGAGATGGAGATGTTTGTTATATGGAGATGTTTGTTAAGTAGAGGTCAGGCAAAAACCTTTGGTCTAACTAATCACACCAAACTTTTACATTCCCAAAAAGTGGCTGTGTATGTGTGGGTTTAAGAAAGTACTCTAGGGAAAGAATTTAGTTATTCTGAACAGTGTCACAGCACACAAACTCTGGGGACAGGTGCTGATTGCTTTGTTTTTAAGTTTTCTAAAGCACTAAGTGGTATTTTCTGAAGCAGTAAGACCTTAAACATCAGGGTTTTCAGGAGGCAAACCTGGATGTTGGAAAAGCTTGCAGAAGGTCCCTTGTAACAAAATGGGGAAGTTGTGTTGATGCTGCTTTGGTCTATGATGTGTGAAATTGTTGCTGCTTGGGTTGTGAGGCTTGGTTACTGCTGCTTATTGCCAAGCAGCTTACAGCTCTGGCAAGTGAAGGTCACAGATTCAGAATGATGGCACATGGGGTGTGTGCCCAGTCTCTAACATGGGCTGAGGTGAGGAAGGAAAAAACATGATTGTTTTTTCTGAGCTGCTCCAAGGAGAGAAGCCTGAAGGGCTTGGTGAGCTGAGGGCAGACTCACCCCTGAGCTGGGAAAGGCTTCATCTCTCCTGTCATGGCTTGGCAAGAGGCAATACAGAAACAAATGCCACAGCCATTACTGTGTTGGATGGTTTCTACAAAGGACGTGTCTGTGTCTCAAACATGATTTAGATCCTTGCAGAGGTTAGATAAAGTGAATGTTATGTAAAAGCCCTTTGCAAAGGCTGATTATCAAGAGGTTTTGTGCTCATCAAATGATTTGGCTGCACAGATTGAGTGACTTGACTCTTGGCAAGGAGAAAATTCTGCAATCTGACAGCAATTAAGATATATTTTCAAAGACTAGACACACAATTCTCAGTGACTGGTCACCTCTCTGTCACCCTGAAGCTTGTTGTGATGTCTCTCAAGGGCTGATTATCAAGGGCCTTTGTGCTCATCAAATGATTTGGCTGCACAGATTGAGTGACCTGACTCTTGGCAGGCAGAAAATTCTGCAACCTGACAGCAACCAAGATCTATTTTCAAAGACTAGATAAACACAATTCTCAGCGACTGGTCACCACTCTGACACCTTGGAGCTTGTGATGCCTCTCACCTTCACCACATGGGTTCTTGATGAGATTCCTCCTTTTCTTACTGAGGAAGTAGAAGCTTTGCCAGTTCTCCACATCTGACTCTGCTCTGGTGAGGCCTTCCTGCTGGCACTTCAGGACCCACAGGGCAGCTCCATCCACCAGGTTCCTCCACTGGCAGCAGACCAGGCGGCACACCAGCACCAGCTCCACGGCAGGGAGGGAGGCCAGGATCCGGACCAGCACTGCTTCAGGGAGGGACTCCATCCCTGGGGCAGCTGGGCACAGCTGTCTGAGACAGGGTGGAAAGCAATGGTCAGGGTTTCCCACCCTCAGCAATGCCAGACACGGAAGCAGGGGAAAAAAAGGGAAAATTAATATGTTATCTGTCATAGACATATTTTATGAAAAATCCTTTCATTAGGATTTTTCTCCTGAGAAGCTAAGAAGCCTTAGAGGAAAAGAAAAACAATAATTATCTGCTGCTGTGGGATGCAACAGGTGCATCTTTGATTGGTCCATGCTGGTTGTTTCTAATTAATGGCCAATCACAGTCAGCTGGCTCAGACTCTCTGAGAGTCACAAGCTTTTTATTCATTCTTTTCCATTCCTTGCTAGCCTTCTGATGAAATCCTTTCTTCTATTATTTAGTATAGTTTTAATATATAATTTCTTTTAATATCATATATATGATAAAATAATAAATCAGCCTTCTGAAACATGGAGTGAAGATTCTCATCTCTTCCCTCATCCTAGGACCCCTGCAAACACCACCACAGTTATCTGAAGGCAGGATTTTTGATTCCTAGCCTCAAGGTCTCCTGTTCCTCACTAGATTAATAGCCTGAAGCAGATTACTATTTTTATATTCTAATTAAAAGCCCTGAATTAAATCTGCCCACAAAATGTATGTATTTGACCACTGAGTTTGTTCATTTCCAGGCTGGAATCAGGCTTCCAGAATCTCTGCTGCTGCAAAAATCAGCTTCCTAGTAATGATTTCCTCTGCAGAGGAAGGCACAGGGGTGCTTGTTCTGCCTTTAAGAACATCCCTGATTACAAATGCTGCAAAGCAGTACTCAAATATCAGTGTTAAGCTTCTTGCCAGACATCTTTGCAGTGGTTCATTCCATATCTGACAGCCTTTCCCTCAGAGTGCTGGCACTTAATCAGGAGCCTGTATAAAGTAAAGGTCTGAGCATAACTGAAAATAACTCAGCTGGTATTTTCTAATATTCTAATGTCTATGGCCTCATTATTGGAGGAATAAAGTCAGAAGGGTTTGCTCTAACTCCATGTGCTAATTCTGAACTCCAAGCAGCTCTCTGCTGCCCTGAGGCCCCAGGTGCAGGTGCTGCAGGACTGTGGCAAGATGAGTGTGCAGATTCAGAGCCCGTGAGGGATGCACTGTGACACTGCTTTGATGTCAGCTGAGTCCCGGTGCTGGGAAGCTGCTGAGATTGCAGCAAACTGCATGGATGCAGCCAAACTCCTCAGGAATGACTCATTAAACCTGGAAGAGCACTAAGAACAGAGGTGAAATACTCTGGCATACAGCTAAACAAAATACAGCAGTGCCAAACCTGGTAAGGAAGGGAAGAAACTGGGAGTCACTGCTGTAGCAGCATCCTACATCCAGAGTTCAGATGCGTCCTCTATCTGCACTGCATCCAGCAAACTGTGATTTAAAACTCCCAGACAGAATTAGGGATTTCTTATTCTCCCCACACTTCCAACCCTCAACCACAATCCCGACGGCAGAAACGAAATTTTTTAGAAGCAGGCGGGAGGGATCATGCTGGTTTCATCTCGTACAGGAATTTCAGAAGCCCCTCCAGCTCCCTGCGTGCTGATAGAGCACTGTTAGCCAGGCTTCCTCCGGCACTCGGAGAAGGACGGGGGCTCCTCTCCTATCCTTTTTCCTTTCCTATCCTTTTTCTTTTTCCCTTTTCTTTTTCCTTTCCTTTTTTCTCTTTTCTTTTTCCCTTCCTTTTTTCCCTTTTCTTTTTTTCTTTCCTTTTCCCCTTTTCTTTTTCCTTTCCCACCCCAGCCAAGCACCCAAACCGGGACGGCTTTCCATCATGGCCACTCTCCGGGCAGCGCGCATCCCCTGATGAGTTCGGGTCACACTCCTCCTTCCCCAGGANAGATCCTTGTTTTGATCCTCTTGAGCTGGAAATATAAAAGGAATGCTCTTCCAAATTCAGGAGATGCATCTGAAGAAGGAAAAAAGGGGAGAGAAAGTGCCAGATCCTTGAACTTCTTTGAGAAATAATTTTAAGGAGGCAGGGGGGAGGAAATTAACAATTTTTAAAATACAAGAAAGAGGGGAGAGGAAAATCATAATTTTAACCTGTACCTGTCCTCTCTGCTCCTTTCCTTTGCTGAAAGCCTCAGGTTGTGGGTCAGATAAAGGTATTTGGGATTTTGTCTGTCTCTCCGTCCTTTAACAGAGGTTTATGTCATCTGGAAAATACACATTGCAGTCCCAAGCAGAAAACCATGGCTTTTCATGGGTGAGGAGGGACAACTGTGCATCTATGAACTTGTGATAATGGTGGCTGCTCTAGCAGTGACAATACATTTTTCTTCAGTGGTTTTGTTGTTCATATAACTTATAGTTCAGTTTTCTCCATGCAGATTTGTTGGGGAATTCTGGTTTTGTTTATCAGTTTTTTAATGACAGTGTAGGAGGGTGAGTAGCCACATGCAGCAGTGGAAGTGGCCACTTGGCAATTTCAGGGTTTGCAAGGGGTCAGGTTGTTCTAGCAGAGATGCAAATTACTGTTCTTGTGTTGAATCCTAAAGCAGGTGGAATCCTTCCTCAACAGAAAACGCCAAGAAAAGTCACATTATAGCTTTACTATTACTGCAGAGCACTGAGCAGTGACTGCAAAGTGCTGCTGCATTTTATTTTCTCCCATTTACAGCCAATTCACTGATCTGCACTCTCCAGGAACAGCCATGGGATTAGAACTTAATTATCTGGTGGCAAGGGGGGCAGAGACAGGTGTCTCCTCCAAGCATGGCTGAAAGGCCCTTTTATGTGCCTTATGAATTATGTTAAAATCAATGCTTCTGATCTGTTTGTGCTCCTTGGCACTGCCAGGAGAGCAAAGGCCTTGTGGTTACCTGATTTAGCTCAGAAAAGCTGTCTTGTCTTTACACTACGCCATGAATTGCCTTTAAATCAGTTCCCTGGGTCTGGAAATTAACTGGTCACTGGTTGTATGGGCTATATAGACTTTTCCTTCTTTGTTAGCACTCAAAAGTTCTGTCACAGCTGAGTCCAGCAAGAGGCAGAGAGCACCTGGAGGTTGTAAGAGCCCAAATGAGGGATGTGGGACTCCAGGGGCTCTCCAAAATGCAGTTTATTGTATACAAGGTGTTACAGCAGCCCAGGGTCATGGGTGACAGAACCTGTGCCTACAGATGTCAGAGACCCTTTGGTTTTGGTCACATTGCATTATGTACTTTTCTTTGCTGAGTATATTAATACAGTAGAACCAACCTATACCTTAACTCTTATCTATAGCCCATCATAACTACTATAATTACCATATTCATATTACTGTTCTCCAATCACTAAAAGTCAGTACATTACAGTTAAAGCTAGAAGTTGTTTTTCAGTTTCCTTGCAATGGAAAATTCTGAGACCTTTTTTCTACTTGCAGCATTTGCTGACTTGTTTGCCTGTGCTCTCTTGGCAGAAAGATTTTTGAATGTAGAATCTGAAGAAGGAATAGAAGTGAAAGCAAGTTTTGATATAGAAGAAAAGAATTGCTGAGCCAGTCTCACTGGATAATCAAGAAGGCAAAGGATGTGTTAGTTACAAGGGGTTTTTATGACTTAGAGCAAAGGATAAACCCACCTCAAACAAGATTTTTGTACCAAGCAGAAAGATAGCACAGGCAAACAAGGCAGCAAATGTTGCAAGTAGGAAGGTGAGTTATTCCTTAAGAACTTTTAACTTACTACTGTGCATTGTATATAGTTAAATCACTTTTATTATCACTTTTGAAAGAAGCCAAGCAACTCAAAGAACATCCTGCTATTAATCCTAAAGAATACCCAGAGGATTTTTCCATTCTGCACCTGAGCTTGGATTTACATGATGGATTCATTACACCTCATTGAGGGAGGGATGGTGCATTTTTAAGCACACTTATAAATATGTATTCATCTGATAGACTGGAGGAACTAATCTGGGTTTGAGAAGGTCCACAGTGATGAATTTGCAAGCTCTTCCCTAATTGCCTCTAAGGGATAGGGTATGGATGGAAGAAAGGAGGAGCAGCTGGAGCTCCAGGGATTTTGTGCACATTAGTGATGCTTCAGAACTCAGCAGCTCAGTGGAAGCACCCAGTTTTCAGAGAGAGTGGAAAGAACTGCCAAAGTACAGGAAAATGGGAACCAGGCTGATAACGTGGCACCAAGGCAATCCACACATATACAAGGGGTACAAATAATCTGAGTTTCCAAGGCTGTTCTCTTCCTTTCCTCAGCATCTCTGAGCAATGCCACCTTCTCTTAGAAAAGACAGGAACAAAACCACAGCCTGCTAAACAAGCCACACAATTAGCAGAAATTTGCTGTACTTCTAGCTCTTCTTGTCCTCATTTGTTTTTATTAGAGATTCTGCTGCTGGTAGGTGACAGCAGACTGACCATCATGTCAGAAAGAAAAAAACCCAGTTATACCTAAAAATACTCCAAATTCCTCCCACCATGACCCTATTTTTGAAGCGGAGAAGAGATTTTAGCCCATAAATCTCAGCTTTGTGACTCCAAGGGCAGTTGCCCAGTTCTTCTGTTCCTCAGATTTCAGTTAAAGGCAGAACACGCAGTGCCAGGAGAGCTGCAGAGCTGCAAGGCTGGATGGGCAAAAGAGATTTGATCTTTCAGATCAGCAGCTGATCAGACTGATCCCTTTCCTCCTTGGAGCACATCTCTCCATCTTCCCTTTCCTCCTTGGATCATATCCCTCTATTCTCCTCACCTGAGAGCAGCAGGAGTTGAGGAAATCCTCTGGACAAGGGGCATCTGCACCTCTGGTGCCCTTCATGCTCCCTGCACAGACCCCCAGGAACATGCATTTAAAAATTTCATGCATTTAAAAATTTCTGCAGAAACTCCATTGCCCGTCCATTTGATTTGTGCTTTATATTTGTGCACCTCAGTCAAACCCAGATTTTATTCCCTTCCTGATTTCCCTGAGATGCTGGAGTTTCTAATTAACCAGAAAGGCTTTTTATTCCTTAAAACTCTCCAGTTATGAATAATTATACTAGCT